AGCCCCGTGGCTTAGCGGTTAAGTGCACACACTCCGCTACTGGTGCCCGGGGTTCGGATCCTGGGCGCGCACCGACGCACCGCTTGTTGGGCCATGCTGAGGCGGAGTCCCACGTACAGCAACTAGCAGGATGTGCAACTATAACATACACCTATCTACTGGGGCTTTGGGGAGAAAAAGGAAAAAAAAAAAGGAGGAGGATTGGCAATAGATGTTAGCTCAGGGCCGGTCTTCCTCAGCAAAAAGAGGAAGATTGGCGTGGATGTTAGCTCAGGGCTAATCTTCTTAACAAAAAAAAAAATCAAAATACAGATTTTCCCAGGGCAGGGAGACAGCCCTAGTTTGAGCAGACCCCAGAGCAAGTGTACTTTAAATTACATCGCTGATGACTGAGATTTCCGCGCTCAGGCACTAGCCCTGGCCAGGCTAGCGTTCAGTTCAGTGACACCAGCTGAAGCTTTACTCTGGGCCACTGTGGCCCACCCTGCACTTTGGGGGGTCTGGTTCACCATCCTCTCCACCATGTTCTTATGCTGCCTTGAAATCTAGAAGCTCACATCTTCACCTATGGGTTCACGATTTAAATTTCTCAAAAAAGAGGGACTCTAAAATTTGTTTTTAGTAGGCATCAGTAGGAGTATGCCTTTGTCTTAGGAAAACATGCATATTATTCAATTTAGGCCTATATCCTGAGTGATTGTTTAGACTAGACAGAGACCATGTATTAAAGGTTAAATTTCAGTGTAAATTCTTGAGTCAAACGTCTATGGACAAAAGTTAAAATGCAGTCTTGTTTTAAGGAAGGAAGGGAGGGAGGAAGGAAGAAAGGAAGGAAGGAAAGAAGTTTTTCTAAAGATATCTTAAAAAGGATTATTATAACCCAAGGTAGATGATCTCCCAATGAGAGAGAGAATATATAAAAATTCTTTGACCTAAGTTAAATCCATTAGCAAAGCATTTTAAGAAACTCATGCACTGTTGTCTTCAGAGTAGCAGGTATGTGATGGTTTCATTTTAGCATTTAATTCAATGATGCCCTTGCAGATTGCATTTAAAGGGTAAAGATATGCATTTGATTCAACTGATCTTATTTAACGGTTTTTATAAGAAGCTTCAATTCACATTTTTTCCATTTGTTTTGCTTCAGCACTTCCAAACCCAGTAGGTCTGGTTGCACTGTCACCCTCACACCCAACGTGTGGATAAAAATAGAGTGAAATAATCACTAGAAGGAAAATGAAAGTTTGGGTCGTACATCAACTCTGCTTAGTTGGCATCCAAACACATAATTCACATTGCTGAAAAGCCTCCATTGATTGCTTATCCATTACAGATCAATTGCAGAAAAGGCTGTAACTTTATTAGAAGCATAATTTAGGAATCCTGTAAACATTTAGGATTTAAACCCCACTTACTGAATGGCCACTGCATAGTAATTAACCCATGTGTGAAATTAAATCCAACCCTAAGGAATATTTATATACGTGTCGTTTTAAATTCTGTCTGAAGCCTTTCCAAGAAAATCGTATCAAAAGGCAATTTAACCAACCTGACTCCAGACCGCCACCATCCTGTCCTAAGGAATATTGCCTTAGCATTTGTCACTTGCTTAATATAAAACATCCAAATGTGTGTATATGTAGCCCATTAAACAAAGAAACCCATTTGTTCAATATTAGGTTGTTTAATTTTTTTAATTTACTACTTACTAATGTACACTGCCACTGAGCATTCTATTGTCTGTAGCTGCTTAGAACCTCCTGCTCCTGCTCCTGCAGTCACCACCTCTTGTTTGATTCACATCATACCTGGTGAGCTACCTGCAGAAAAATCCACCTTTCTTCATCCCAGAGCCATCTTACCAAGGTGGGGGGCTGAGAAAGTGTGGCTGACCCTGGGAAGTCCATGAAAACTAAGGCAAAAGCTGTCAAATCACAATCCTATGAATAAAGGTAGACAATGTTTCCACAAAGGAAAAAAAGAAAAAGCTCTTGTCGTGCTGGCTCTGATAAGATACTGCAGTGTAAACCTGGCTGTAAAAGGTTGTATGGAAACACAGCAGGCACCTCACCCACTCTCTGATACCAGACTCATACTTGAAGCCCTCTGTCATCCAAATATAGAACTTACTCTTATTAGAGAGCAGGAAAATCTACATATCTCCTATGGATGTGCAAGTGAGTTTCTATAGAATTGAAATCCACTAAACAAGATGCCTTAGGTTTTGCCTAAGTTGGGAGTGAACCAAGAACAAAAGCAGAGATCTCTGGCTGTGAAAAGCAGCTTTTAGCTTTTGCCTCCCTCTACTTCCTCCGTTTGGATGGAAAGGCTGAAGAGGAGGGTTAGGAGTGGGGCTAATAGGTGCTCGGCTCATTCCGTGTCTTGAAGGAAGGCGTTTGAAGAAAGGTGCAAACACTCTGAGCCTGTGCAAGGAGATTCCTTGGGAACTCCATGGTCAGGTTGCCTGTGGAGCTGCTCCAAGCTGGGGACTTCCATCCCTCACATGAGGAAATAGCACACTTGGCTACTGGTTCCTGCTCCTCTCCGTCTCCTCTGGGCCCTCACCACCTTCTCTTCTCTGTGCCTCTTGTCTTAATAAAGTTTTCTCTGGGCATTATCTTCAGTTTTAGAAAAGTTTAACTAATCCCTTCTCTGCCTTATCTTAATAGATTTATAAACTTACATTCTCATTTCATATTTACAAATTCTAACTATTACAAATAAGATCATATTTTATCATCTTTACACACAATAATGCATATTCACAACCATTCTTGAACTAGGGAAGGATCATCATAAAGCATCACCAGTAGTCTGAGGAGTGGTCAAGGTTTTTTGGTGGGTGAGAGCTTCTTAATGTTTTCCAACTCTTGTGGTTAAGAAATTATATCTTATATATAACAACATAGGTGAGATTAAATTCTCGTTTTCCTCTTTTACTGAAATTGAAATTATTTTTCACTATCATTCTAATAAAATCCTTCCAGCACATAAAGAATTTTTAATGATAGACCTTAAGCATCATTGTTTTCTCAGCTAAATAGGCCCAAGTAATTTTCTTCATTGGTCTTCTCTATACTTAGGTGTAAACTCCTTTAGACAGGAATATGTCTAGTTTAATTGGATTCTGACCAATGAGTACTAAGGACCATCCTATTACATGTACACATGTAGCAATACTTCCTCAGGAGGAGAATGCTGGCTGATGTTTACTTTGAGCTTTCTGTATGTCAGGTATTATTCTAAGAGCTATAAATGGAATAAATTGATTCATTCCTCATGAAGTACTATTATTAACCACATTTTACAGATGAGGAATTGGAGGCATAGAAAGGTTATAAAATCTGCACAAATTACAAAGCTTGGAAGTGGCTAGAAATAAAAAGAGAAACACACATTGTGTGAATCTTCATTTCTTGAATCATTTCCTCAACAACTAACCAACTTTTTCAAAGGCTCATATTCTCCATAGATATAGTCTCTCGAGATTAAACAATAATAAAGCAAAAAATGAGAGCTGAATCCTTCTCACAGGTCCAGATCCACAAAGTCCAGTTTCCAGTATAATTTCTAGTTCATTTGTTAGTTTGCAATACTTTCCCCTGTCCTTAGAAATACTTAAACTGATTGTATCCAAAAATAAATCTGAATAGATATTGTGCAAATATTTTCATCTTTATAATTAAACTAGTCTCTAGTCACCAAAGGTAATTTTTTACAGATACTGTTAATATGTGCTTCTTTCTTACAAGTCTCTCTGCCACAGAGAAAATTGTGTGTAAAATGTAATGCAAGTAAGTAGGAGAAAATTAAACTCACACATCTTTTTAGATGAACTCTATTGGCTATCAAGACTTTCCAAACCCATGTTAGCCTTGTAGCAGATGGATTTTGCAAAAATAAAAAATGAATGTCTTCAAACTTCTCTACAGGGATATGAAGAAAACATAAGTAATCTGTCATTATGAACAATTAGAACTTGAAAGTGAGTTCTGTTTCTAAATATAAAAAATAAAATAAAAATCACTCATAATTCCACTATGCAAAAATCACTACTCAACATTTCAGCACATTTCCTTCCAGTCTTTTTTTTTCCTATTTTTTTTTTTAACATAGTAAATGGCTATCTTTGAAAGCTCAAGGTTTATTTGAACCATTTATTCAAGAAGTTTGTTCCCTTGTCCCCAGGAAAAAATTCCTATTATCTCCCTGCCCTCCCATAACATGTTAATCTCCTTCAAAGGCAATTCAAGTTTTTGACAGAAAAATCAAATTATTTTAGCCACTCTGCTATTTCCTTTCCTATCTAGAAGATAAAGTCTCCATTTAAAATTAAAGATTTACAGGGGCTGGCCCAGTGGTGTAGCAGTTGAGGTCACATGCTCCGCTTCAGTGGCCTGGGGTTCGCCGGTTTGGATCCTGCACGGACCTATACACCGCTTATCAAGCCATGCTGAGGCAGCGTCCCACATAGAACAGCCACAACTCTACAACTATGATACACAACTACATACTGGGGCTTTGGGGAGAAAAAAGGAAAAAGAAAAAGAAAGAGGAAGATTGGCAACAGATGTTAGCTCAGGGCCAATCTTCCTTAAAATAAAAAAAAAAATTAAAGATTAACAAAGCCTTCAATGATTAGCATGCACCCCTTATTTCCAAAGGTGACTTGGCTATTCTCAGTTGGTAGTGATTACAGATGGTGATTAACACTACATGCAGTGAAAGGGTCAAGTTTAAGACTTCTCTAACCCTCTGTGCTCGACCTCTGTTAATGGCCTTCCTGGTGTTAGAGATTTGTTTAATGATCAATAGTGGTTTCCATTCCTACCACTGAGTCTTTCAGAAAGCAGCATAACCTCGTCAATGTTTAACTGGATTCTTTGGGTCTGAAATGGCAAAGTAGGAGTTGAAGGGAAGTCTCCATGGAAACCAGCCTCCAGTAAGTGGCCAGAGGGTTAGTGTGTGGTGAAATAGAGCTAGAAAGATGTCAGGAAGGAGATGGCTGCCTTGTAAAGCAGCGGTGAACTTCTGAGTACCTTGATTAAAACAAGCTACATTAATGGCCCCGAACCATATCCCTCACGGTTTTTCTTTGAATGTCTTTGACGTGAAATGGGCCTGAGCCACTCCAGGGCTCACCCAAGGGTGACCAAAGTAGCACCTCTGCAAAACAAAGAGGAAGAGCCTCCCTCAACTTGCCCTGTGGAGGTTGCATTCAATCAGCAGCTGGAAGAAAAGAGTTCATATTTGTTCACGGGACCGCAGGACCAGAATAAGGCCTTGGAAGGGCAGCTGCCACCTCTGCGAGAGACCTGGTATGGAAGGTATTCTTCAGGTAAACATGAAACCCAGCTTGAGATTTGTGTATTTGGGCCAAGGAGAGCTACTGATAGATTTACTTGACTGTCTAGCTCATAATCTTAGAAAGTTTCTAAATTATTGAAACGTAAAGGAAAATCTTTCAATGGGAGACCGAATGTTTGTCAGCTGTAAGTATTCTGAGTACATTAGAATGGTACATTAGATGGGGTACATGAAACTGTGTACAAGGGGCTTTCACCATTCCACATGAGAAGGAAAAAATCATTTTGTTTCAGCTTAGTTTATAGTGCTTCCAATGTTTATACCTAGGTTTGCCAGACGATTAAAATTATATAGATAAAGATGTGACAAATTATGCCAATCATATGTTTCAGTTAGATTCTAAATTTAAATCCTTTTCTCCAGTACTGTTGAATGCATCAGGCTTTGTTGTTTTGAAAGCAGCATTTTAGGAGCTAATCCATTCTAATATGAATTTGGAAACCACCCCAAACAGAATTGATTTATTGCAGCACAGATGAGTGCATGAGTCACCCTCTCCCCAATTGCATATTCTTCATGGTCATCTGCAGAACTAAGAGAATTTTTTCCCATTATGATTGGAGGCTCTGAGCCTGACGTGGCTATAAATTATCCTGGGATATTTTACTAGACATGTAAGATGTTTTATGACAACCACAACGATAAACAGACATTCTAACTTGGGAAGAGAAATATAAATATATAAGGTATATATATGTATATATGTATGTAATTTCCTCTTTTCTTCACATTCTGGATCAATAACACAAATAAGTTCCCACTATTGGTCTACCTGACCAGAAAGCCTTGTATTCTCTTTCAGTACCTAGTAGACCTTATCTATAATGATTTTCATGGCTACTTTCTGTAGAACTGACAACCTTTGACTGGTTCTATATGGCCTATTTTTTTATGTTCTCCAACTTCCTAAGCACATGAGTGGAAATTTTCCTCTTAGTTTCATTGAAGAATTCCTTTTTTATTCAAATCCTCTATCCAAAGTTTTACAATTTTGGTAACTGATTGGTAAAAGCTGATTCTAATGCGTTAGAGTCCCAACTGGGAAAAGTTCTAATTTTTGAAATGGTAAATCACACTAAAAATAAATAACAAGGGGATGGTGAGCATTCTGATCACTATTTTCAAAGGGCCCATATTCTAACCCCAGGTCTACCAAGTAACAAATAGTATGACTTTGGGCAAGTTACTTCATCAATTTTCTTCACCTGTAAATCAGGGGTAAAAATGTCTGCCTGAAATAGCCTGTGCCGTTTCGGGAGAATCAAATTAAATAATGAGGTGATATCACTCAAATCATAATAGGAAAATAAGGAGTTGTCAGACTGCTGAAAAAAGTTTTGCCGAAAATAGTTACATTTTTAAATCCAACGTGTTTTTTGTTGTCATTGCTGTTGTTTCTGTCTTGCTCAATGTGCTGGCATCTCTTGAAAGAAAATAAGGGCATAGTGAAGCTCTTAAGGTGGTCATTCAAATGTCTTAAGGATGGAAACACAAAACTACCCAGGGATTTTGCCACTTAAAATGCAAAGTGTGACTGTAGGATAGTCTACACAACAATCTAGAAGTCAGAATGCTTCCAGATTGTTAAAAGGACAAGGGCTTCATTCATGCAATATTGGTCACAGTTGTAGTCCCAAGGGCCCAGGATAATCAAGCTAAAAAATGAAATCCATAATGGATCTCTTGAGCCTATCTGTTTCCTAACGAGGCTTAAACTCTGTAGCCCTGGGTTGTTTTATGAGGAAAGAATATTGATATGTTGTATTATAGCAGCAACTTGTGGGAGTTTCTTTCCCTAGTTGGGGGCACTATTTAACTGGGAACATATAATGCTAAGCATTGCATACTCTTGTTACACACTCATGGCCCATTTCTTTATCACCTCTCCCTCTATCTCATACCTATCCATCTATCTATCTATTGCATCTGAAAAGAGAATTTATTTTCATTTCTTTTGTTTGTGAGGAAGATCAGCCCTGAGCTAACATCCATGCTAATCCTCCTCTTTTTTTTTTTTTTTTTGGTGAGGAAGACTGGCCCTGGGCTAACATCTGTGCCTATCTTCCTCCACTTTTTTTGTATGGGACACCACCACAGCATGGCCTGACAAGCGGTGACTCGGTGCGCACCTGGGATCCGAACCCAGGCCACCAGCAGCAGAGTGCATGCACTTAACCACTACACCATGGGGCCGGCCCTATTTTCATTTCTTAAAGCTATATTTTTTATGATTTCCTATATTATTTTGGAGAGATTTCATGAAATTAAAACAAATTATTAAGTTTCTATTTTCCAGGCCAAATTTTATGTTTGAATAACATTTATAGTCAAATACTGTTAATTGTGCAGATCTTCCTCTAAATATCAATCTGGGAAGGAAATGAGGAAAGCAGACATTAAATCCTGGGTCTCGGCTAATATTTTATCATCTGCTTTCATGTAGGGCCCCTTCTTTATGTGTTTCATCTCCACATTCAACCTATAGGTTAGATATATACAACTGAAAAGGCCCAAAATTGTGTTAACAAAGTCTAATAACTAATGATCAGCCTAATTTAATAGTAAATTGTTTTTAACGGTTTGTTCTTATTTCTCCCCCAATCCTTCAAGTGCCCAGGGCCATGTATTTTGACATCCCACTGGAACAGGGAGAAACAAGTATTATTAAAAGGCATCCACCCCGAAGACTTCAAGTAAGATGAATTTAAAAGGCTTCATAAGGAATTTCTTGGATTTAATGGTAACATCCCTTTTTAAGTCTAATCATAAAAGAGGGATATTGATAATGACCACGCTAATGAGAACGCAAATGTTTTTAAAGAGAACGTTGTCAATTGTAAAGACCATATTTCTTCAGTCTTTCCTTTTGTAGTGCTTTAGAACATAGGCATGATGGGACTCAAGGGACCTGAATCTTGTACTAGTTGGTTGGGTGACTATAGGAAATCACTTGCAATAAACAATAATAACAATAACAACACCTACTATTACTATTTAATTACCACCTATTGTAAGTCAGATACACCCTAGACAACTTGATATATGTCATTCATTTAATCCTCATATCCCTCTACAGGAGAGGAAGTATTAGTTTTGTTTTATATACATGAGTTCAGAGAGTCAAATAATTTGCCCAAGGACAACAGAGGCCAGATATCAACCAGATTTTTCTCCCGAGCCCGTGCTCTTAACCATCAGCATACATGATCTCCACAGCCCTCTGTCCCTAACCTTTTATCCTTCTGTATGTTAACTGGTTGTTGAAATTGAGGACATTGGATTCCAAGGCAGCAATGCAAGAGCTTTAAATACATTCCCCTTAATAAATATTTAATGAATTCCCTCTAGAGAACTATAAATTCTAGGAACTCTCATCCTAGAAGGGGAAAGAGATATGAGTGGGTGCTTGCCAATGAGCATCAGCTAACAGAGGGCTGGGGCTCTCTGGTGGGCAATATCTGTCACTGACATTTGAAAAAGGGATGGAGCCAGATGCCACCGGCTACACAACTCACCCAGGTGTCTGGACCAAGCCCAGCGGTATTTGAGCTCGTTTGTTGGGGATTATTTCTGTTTCAGTTGGTTTTTATTTACCTGCCTTCTTCAGAAGCTCACAGTCAGTATTTGAAGTGATTATATCCTTTGGTCACATAAAGAGCATCTTTTCCCAAAATATTAGAAACCTCAAAATAGTGTTTGGTTAACGAAAAATAAAATGTAATTCTATCAAATTAATATTTAATTTTAAAATTTTTCAGCTTATCTCTAGTTAAGCTGGACAATTTAAAAACTTATGTTTTATTTCTAAATCAAATGCATGTTTTCAAAGGAGTGTGTTGAATATATGTTCCTGTGGAATCTCTAAGCTGAATAACTCAAATAGAAGCTATTACGATAACCAGTGAAAAGTATTTTGTAGCAGTGTATAGTTCACAAAGTACTTTTTAGATCTATCAACCCTAAACAAGCTAACATTAGGCTTTGATTCTCTCAAGTCAATCAAGCTCAAAAAGAGAACTTCAGTATTTCAGAGTCAAAGACTGCACCCCCACATTCTAACCAACCACCTTAAAAATGAAGAATCAAGACAAATGAATTATCTGAGTGCAAAGACTATGTCTTATTCAGTCTTATATCTTCAGTACATATTAAGTACCCCACAAAAGTTGTGAATGAATGAATGATGAATGAATGAACAGATGATTGAATGACAATAAGACCCATTATCCTCGGTAGGAAAAAAAATCAAATGCACTCCTTGCTATTGCAGACCTATAGCATCACTGTATTGGAAGTCCAGTTGACTAGCCAAAGCAACTATGTGATGAGTTATAAGGGCACAGGAGTGTTTTATTGAACCCAAGAGTTGGGAGGCACCTGGACTTCAGGGAGGAGCTGTGCCTTGGAACCTGAAAGGCAGAAGAACTCCCTGTGTCTCACCTAAGCTCTTCTCCATGCATTTGCTTTACTCTCTCCCTGCAGATTGACTTTCTCTGCTCCTCAAGACCACTTGGTGAAATATGGCCACCCTGAATTTGCATCTTATAGTTCCAGTCAAATGGACACACTGGCCTGGCCCTCTTGGCTCCAATTCCAAATTCCTGAGAGAAAAGATGTTATTGGCTCAGTTTTGCTTGTGATTTCCGTTCTGGTCAAATGAGCTATGACCAGAGGATATGCTCATGCAGTAGAAATGTGGGGAGAGGAGTCCCCCCACCCCCATAGATTCTGGAGGCAGCTCCTAGAGAAGAGGGAAATCACTGGGAATTTGGCAGACACTCCCAAAGATATCGACTATAATTATCTTCACAAATGAGGCTCAGCACATTTTCTACCACAAATGGGTTTTAGAGAGAATAATAAATGCTGGGTTCCCATGACATGCTAATTAATAGCCTAATGTCTGCCAAAGAAAATTCTAAAAGTATTTTTAATTATTAAGCCAAATCTAATTGTATCCTAATAATTTGAGTTGCATATTTGGCACTCACCACTTCCTGAACTTCCACTCCTCAAGTAAAGAGCAGGTCATGAACTAAGGTTCTCCAGCTTGGAGATGCTAAGATCTGAGAGCCTCTGCCTCGGAGTTCTAATCAAACGTGCCTGTCCCATGTCAAAGAGTTGATCATCGCTGTCCCTCTGGCCTGACTCACTTTCTCATCCAACCATCTCAGGTCCAACCTAAGGTGGTGATAGGTCTCCTCCTGCCCCATATCATGTGTCCTCAGATGATCTCCTTGAAGACTTCCTCAGCTCCAAAGATTTGCTTAAATCTCACCTTCCCTATAAGGCTTATCATGATAACCTATTGACAGTTGCAACCCTCACCCTAGCACTCCTGATTCCCCTGAACATTCACTATCTTTTCTTTTCCCTAGAACATTTATTTCCATCTAACACTAAGCAATTTACTTATCTATTAGGTCCATTGTATTTTCTTCACTGCCTCCCGGCCAATACTAGAATATAATCTTCACAGAGGTAGGGATTTTGTCTGTTGTCTTCACTAATGTATCCAGGTGTCTAGAACAGTCCCTGGCACATAATAGGTGATCAATAAGTATGTGTTGAACAAATGTTGAATGAACGAATGGAGAGGAGAGAAAGATGAGCATAAAGACTGTTGGTGAGAGATAAGGAGGGTGGTTCTGACCTGGATGGTTTCATTATGTCATTTGAATATTAAACAAATTGTTACAAACTTATTCCCTTTCCTTGCCTTTTTAAATCTTTGTCTGTTTTCTATTATCTTTTTCTTTGTGGTCTGTGAGAGTTCTTTACATATCTTAGATCAGTCCTTTGTTAGTTATATATGTTACAAATATCTTCTCTCCGTCTATGGTTTGCCTTTTCATTTTGCTTGTGTGTGTGTACAAAGATTTCCACTTTTAGTGTTGTCAAATTTCTCAATCTTAATCTTTGTTTTGTTTTTCTTGTATTTTGTCTCAGAAATTTTTATCTTCCCCAAGGTCATGAAGGTATTCTTCTTTATTTCTTTTCAAAATTTATAATATTTAACTTTTCACATTTATGTCTTAATCCATCTGAAATTCATTTGTGTGCAGGTGCAAAGTTGGAATCTAATTTTACTTTTTTTCCATTTGATTCATCTTTTGTACCAGCACTCTTTATGGAATCATCTATTCTTTGGCCATTGAATTAAAATGTTACTTCTGTTATATATACGATTTCCAGTACTTCATGAATCTGTTTCTGGGCTGTCTCTTCTGTCACACTGGTCTATTTGCATATCTCCACAGGGATTCCAGACTGTCTTAACTATGTACCTTTAAGCTAAGTCTTAGTATCTAATATGGCAAGTCTCCTCACATTATCCTTCTTCTCCAGAATTGTCTTTGCAATTTATGGTCCTTTGCTCTTCTATTTGAAGTTTGGATCTTCTCATCACGTCCATGAAAACCCTTGTTAGTATTCTGATTTAATGCATTAATAGATTAATTTGGGGAAAACTGATCATGTTTACAATATTGAGTCTTCTAAACCACAAACATGGCATAAATCTCCTTTTACTTAGATTTTCTTTTATATCTTTCAATAATGTTTCATAATTTCTCCACAGGGGTTTTGTGTGATTTTTTTTAGGTTTGTTTCTAGGTACGTATATCAGTCAGGGTTCAATCAGAAAAACAGAACCAGTAGGAGATAACATATATTAAGAGACCTTGCAAGGAATTGGTTTACATGATTATAGAGGCTGGCAAGGCACATTTGAAATCCATAGGGCAGGCCGTCAGGAAGGGCAGGATGGCACTCTCGGGCAGGGGTGAAGCTGCATCCGCAAGTAGAATTGCCTCTTCTTCAGGGAAGCCTCAGGTCTGCTCTTGAGGCCTTTCGACAGATTGAATCAGGCCCAGCCAGATTATCTGAATTAATCTCACAGTGACACCTAGATTAGTGTTTGAATAATTGGAGTCTGTAGCCTAGCCAATTTGACACTGACCATCAAAAGACATTACAGAGTTTTTTCCTCCTATTATGAACGAGGTCTCTTTTCCCATTTAATTTCCTAAATGATTATTATTTGTGAATAAAAAAGCTATTGATTTTTGTATGTTGAATTTTGTGTTCCACAACTTTATTAAAATATCTTGTTAATTCTAATTGTCTATAGATTCTTCTAGATTTTCTATGTAGACAATATCGTCTATAAATAAGAATAAATTTTTTCTCTTTCTTGCCAATTCTTATCCCTTGTACTTGTTTTTTTAACTTTTGCATTGGCTAGAACTTCCCTTGCAATGTTGAATACAAGCTGATAATGGGCATCCTTGTCTTATCCATGACGTAAATAGGACTGGTTTGAAAACCAAGTACATTTACAATAGGATTTTGATAGAAGCTAGTTAGAGTCCCAAAAGGAAACAGATGGCACGCTCAAAACAGGATAATTCAAGGAAGTTTTCTTTGCAAGTAACTATTTACAGAGGTTTGGGTTAGGGGAACCAGAGAGGATATTACAATAACCACTAGTGGCAGCTGAGGGGTAACCACCTCTAGGCCAAGGGACTAGGAGAGTGAGAGATTTCTGGAGCCTGGAGGAGAGAGTTAGGTAGAGGAAGCTGCTTTGAGAGGAGCGGCGGACACAGCCAACACAATATGACCTTGCAGGGAGGGACAGAGGAAGAAACATCCTGACCTCTTTCCCTTTCCTCTCTCAGATCTCCTGCCGGGG